ACGGCCTGTCCAAGCGTGACGGAATCACGTTTTTTCACTTTGTTTTTTCAATAGTTAAATAGAGAGAAGTCGTATAAGATGAGAGATATTCATAGATTATGTAAGCCTAGTTCCTCTACACCTCCACGAAGTTTCATGAGAATTCACCTGTCTGTCTTTGTTTTATAAAAGAAATATATGCCCGTTATGGAATCACCAAAAACGGAATTGTATATTGAGAGTGCTGTAAAGAAATAAAAAACTTAGCTCAACGATAAATGTTAAGAGAGAACTTTGTATACAAAAGTTTTAGCTTTGAGGACGATCTATGCATATAATAAAAAAAAATTTAGAAATAAAACAGTCTCTGTCTAATATGCAGGAAACACTCTCGTGACGGAATCACATTTTCGTGACGGAATCACTTTTGAAAAATGACCATGTTTTTTTGATATTTATTTTTTATCCAAAGTACATAGTAGTCAATTATATTTCAAAAACTATTAATATATATAGATAGGTACGTAACAGACGAAGTATAAAAAAATATCTTGTGAATATAAAACACTACATAAATACATAATATATATATAAAAGTTAAAATATGATACATAAAAGTTAAAATCTATAGACATATTGATTGTCACTTGTAGCATATTCAGCAAATTGTATAACATCTTTATGTAAAGCTTGAAAATGATGTTGTTTTTGAAGATCTGGTATACTATTAATTTGAGAAAATAATTTTTCAAGTGTCAATTTTGTTACATCTAATTGAGCTTGCCTAACAAGTATAGTAGAAATTGTTTGTGATTTTTCACGACATATTTTAACAAAATCATCAGCTGATGAACACTGTTTACCAGCCATGATTTCAAGCCATACTAATCTTTTTAAAATTCCACCCACACCATCCACAACCCCCTTACCATGAGCAGAAGCAAAATAATTCTAACTAAGATCGATATCCATTGTATCCATCATATGTGTTAAATAATTAAGAACATATCGATTTTTAAATTGACTAGAAGCATTATCAGAGAAAAAAATAATTTCATTAACAGCAGGCATCATGCTGATAATTTCATTAATAAGTATTTCTAAACACGTAATAACTGAATATTTATTATGTTCGATAGAATTCGAGACTAAACCAAAAGACTGACCATCACCACCACTTCCACCCATCCAAGCATAAGCTGTGAAGATTGAAATAAGTTTTTTACCCCAGTGGGCAGACTGAATTTGGTTTTGGTAGTCAATGGAGAAGTTTTCAGCGTAATCAATTTGGCAGATTACAGTATTATCATTTGCATGAATCTTCATATATTCAAAGTAATCACTTTGTTTTCTCTTGATATAGACATGACGAATATAGTGTGGTACTTTACTCTGTAGTAATTTTGCACATTTTAATACTGAACCTTATATAACAAAATAAAACAGAATTAAATAACGTTTTTTTTATAGAAATTAACTTAGATATATCTTACCAGAAAAAACTTTCTTGGTTGCTCTTCCTCTGGTATTAGACCACTGATACCATTCAATGTTTTTCTTTTTATCAATTACTTTATTTAATATATTCAGAGTAAATTTATTTCGACATGTATTACATATTGACATCATACAAGATTTTTCATGTTGATCACAAACAAGTTTCGATAAGAATGTGTTCAAATTGTTTGCCAAACCTGGCACTTCCTTCGACAACGCTTCCAATAGAAGGCTAACATTTTCGTGAGTAATACAGACACATACTCGATGTGCCAAGCAATTCTTTGATAAAACAAATTTAGGTCGAAGTTTAGCAAATGAAGACGGGCCAACAGATAAACCTAGAACAATATAAAAGTTTAAAAAATATTAGTTTTACAAAGATGTACATTAAAAAAAAACTTTATACACTCAATTTCTTTTTCAAATCTTTTTTTTCGATCATAGCATGACTTAACAAAGTAATTATATTCTTATCAAATTATAACGATTAAAAAATATATTCATACCTGGATTATCTTGAATAAACAGTTGATGAACTTCTCGAATATTGAATAACAAAAAACGCTTTTGATATTTAACACGAGTACCATTTTCTCGAACTGTTACATAATCTCGCTTTCCAGGTGCTTGCCATGAAATATTGTCATTTTTGTAAAAGTCCTGAACCTTCTGAATAACGTCCATAGGTATGGATGCTTGTTGACGATGAGGTGTTGGTTTTGGAAATAAACCTAAATTTTGCCCAACTCGTGTTAAAATTTGATGTTGTTTATCTGGATTCGTAGGAAGTACACGTAAGACTTTCTTCGCAGCTTTGGCAAGTGTTTGTTTATTATACAACGATCTAAATATTAAAAATTGTATCACATGCTAAAAAATATTTTCATTCAAAATACTTAGGTTGATTTGAATTATTTTGTTTTAATTTTTCACGATAACGTTGCTGTGCTATTCGATGATGTTTAACAACAATTTCTTTTTCTTTGACAGTCATTGAAGCTCGTTTCTTTGCTTTTCGTTCTCGATCTTTTCGTTTGAAATCATTATATTTGTCTGTTTTCTGTTTTAATCGATAACGATAATTTTTTGCTCGTTGTGCAGCTGTCAATGGCATTTTTGTAAAAAATTATTTTACAATTACGAGAACGAATTTAGATATTAATGACGTTAATTTGTTTTAACGTCTTTCCATAGAAAGGAACTGTTCAATAGAAAAATTTTAGTCTAATTAACTATTATAGTTTGCGTTAGTTGACGGACATTCATAATTAGACTGTTATGTACGACAATGAAAATCACGTGTCTTTAGTTGCGTTGTATATTATTCATTGAAAAGAAAGAAAAATTATTGAAACAATAAGGTATGTGAATAATAAAAAGAATAATTAAGGTAAAAAAAGTAAAATATTCGTTATAGCAAAAATTACAACATTAGCATTTACCATGTATATATATAGTTTTAAAATAGTCTCTCTTAATGGACGGAAACATGAAAAAACTGCTTTCTAAAATAAAGAACAGACCTAAAAAACACTTTCCTGTAGTTAAATTTTAGTTTAAAATGCATTTGTAGTAAAAAAATGATTTTATTATTATCTATCATAAAAACTAGGTCGTTTGAGGTGATTCCGTAACATTGCTCGTAATTCCTTAAAC